AAGCTTTCCGTTGATGTATGGTTTGTTGTGATAGGACAATATTTGGCCGAGATGCAACTATTTGAAAATCTGGAATCTGAGAATGCAAAAAAATTAAAATATTGAGAAAATCGCCTTTAAATTTGTCCAAATGAAGTTCTTAGCAATGTATATTACTAATCAAAAATTAAGTTTTTATATATTTACGGTAGGAAATTTACAAAATATCTTCATGGAACATGATCTTTACTTAATATCCTACTGATTTTTGGCATAAAAGAAAAATCGATAATTTTGACCCATACAATGTATTTTTGGCTATTGCTACAAATATACCCCAGCGACTTAAGACTGCTTTTGTGCTCCAGGGTCACATATGAGTAAGTAATGACCATGTATTTTACCTATGGGCTGTTACTGGGGTTTCCCTAAACACACAAAAATCTAGTAACTTTATGTTAATTTGTATTATTTATTTGATGCTTTTGGAGGGTTCTCATAATTCTTTTTTTTAACCCCGTTATCATGATTGTTTTGTAAAAATCTATCAATCACTGCATTATTTAAAACAATGCTATATAATTTTTTTTGCTGTTAACCATAATTTTTTTTCTTAAAAAATTAAGGATTTAAAAACAAACTTTAAATTAAATCAAATAAAAATGTGATAAAACAAAAACTTATTTTATTTAATCTAGTTGCCAATGCAACATTTCTCATTTTCAATATTCAATATATTTTTTCTTCAGTTATATTATTTATATATTATTTTTTTCATATTATTTTATCAAAAATATAATTTTTGTAAAATAATATGAGAATAAATTATTTTATAAAAATAATATTTTTTCATAATATTTTATAAAAGAAAAAAATATTTGAATATTATTATGATTTATTTACACATCATTATTTGTCTGGTAGAATTTTAAAACATGAAGCTATTTATTTAAATTATTTTACTCAAATTCTTCATATTTCATATCTTCATATACAGTGCCCTCCACTAATATTGGCATCCTTGGTAAAAATGAAGAAAAGGTGGCTGTGAAAATAAATCTGCATCGTTTATCTTTTTGATCTTTCATTTAAAAAATTCACAAAATTCTAACCATTCATTGAAGTAAAACAATGGAAAAAATTGGCTAAAATTATTGGCACCCCTAGAAAATCTTATGAGTAAAATATCTCTGAAATATACTCCCATTCATATTTACCTTTCTTTTCGCACACCAGGGTGACTAAGAGCATGTTCCACAGAATTGTAAATATGAGGAACACAAAGGCCAAATTCCCTTAATCATCCATCACAAAAGAACAAAATGAAGCTTCTGCCATGGCCGTCCCAGTTCCCTGAGCTGAACCCTATAGAAAATGAGTGAGGTGAACTGAAGAGAAGAAGCCCCAGCATGGAGCTGGGAATCTGAAGGATCTGGAGAGATTCTGGATGAATGAGTGTTCTCTGATCTCTTGTCAGGTGTTCTCCAAACTCACCAGGCATTATAGGAGAAAACTCAGAGCTATTATCTTGGGAAAAGGATGGTGCAATAATTGGGTGCCAATAATTGTGGCTAATGTGAACTAGAGAAAAATATTTATTTCATAATGTGAGTTTCCCCCAACTTTCCATTGTTTTACTTCAATGATAGGTTAGAATTTTGTGAATTTTTTTAATGAAAGATCAAAATCATAAACGATGCAGATTTATTTTCACAGCCACCTTTGCTCACATTAACCAAGGGTGCCAATATTAGTGAAGGGCACTGTATATATGTGTGTGTGTGTGTGTGTGTATGTGTGTGTGTGTGTGTGTGTGTGTGAACACTAATAAATATGACGAAAAGACACAAAAACAATTGAAAGCAGAATAAAAAACTAATTCAAACTAATTCAAAATATTTATCAAAAATTTTAATTATACTAAAATAACACTGGTATATATGTATGTATATGTGTGATATATAATTTTTCATATTTTGGATAATTATTACAATTTATCAACATTATATTGATAATTATAATTATAACTTATTTTGTCTTGATTTTACTTTACTATGAAAAAATGCAGTGGCGTTAAGTAATATCCTTATTGTGACTTATTCTCTCACTCAGACACTCGTTCATGCATAAATATTTCATTAAATCGTTCTTGGAGAAAAGCTAATCACTGTTCAAATGGGGGTTCTATGTTCGATGGAACGGGACAGTCTTTGAGACGAGGAAGTGTTTCAAATGGATTTCTGCGGTCTCTTGAAGTTGGATCCATTCCTGTCTGCTCTTTTGAAATCGGAGTAATGCAAGAACAGAATGATGAAATCACAGTATTTTGCTCTTTCGAAATGAGATTTCACTCATGTGGCTACAAACCGAATGTTGTTGATGTTGTTATTGTGCTCAGATCTCTCCTGCATGTGCAGTCTGAGCGTTTGCGTGTTCTTTATGTGTTTCAGCTTTTGAATAATGCACAGGTTCATCATGGATGTGGTGATTTCACACCTGCATTATTGCTCTTGTGCTGCAGTAAATCAGGGCAGATTCACAGTGCAGTAGTTTTGGACCATCATGCACTGCACATGAAGACTCAACTCTATCTGTGGCATAAACAGGGTAGACCATTTTCATTATTCATTTACTTCTTTACTGATATCATGAGAGGTCACAAGAGGTCAGCCTTTGCAGATCTTTTTTATGCTCAAACAGCAACATTACAGACTAACTAAAGTTGAAAAAGTGAAAAAGCATAATAGGACCCCTTTAAAACAACGTCACCACGGCTATGGGGGAAAATGCCACCAAAAACTACAAAACAGTCATTGGAATCATATGATTCAATGATTTTCTGATATATATATATATATATAATATATATGTATATATTTTATAATATTTTATTCTAGGCCTATCTTATCATGGGTTAAGACAGCATAAAGCTGAAAGGTTTCCATAGAAGATAGAAGAAGACAGAAGAAAACACTGTGTGCATTATATTGCCTACATATATATTACGACATGCATTGCATACCTTTTTGTTTTTATCAAGATAACCTTGTAACCCGGGCAAGGATTGTCTGTTAAACCTTCCTATATATTGTTTGTTAGCGAATGTTAATGAACGTTGTTATTAGCTGTTACCGACGTGTCTGGTCTTTTCTCTTCCAAAATCCGAGTCGTCAAGACAGCGGCGCGCGCAAACCGTTGCTCGAGTTCAAATGGCTCGTGCGCTCATGGAGAGCTGATGTGTGGCGCGCGCGTCCAAACGCTCTGAGAGTCTCTCACATTTCAGGAAGTGTCGGAAGTCCTCAGCTGCTGTCCGTCTGCCGTGCTCTATATTATGGTCGCGCAGCCGTGATCCGCTTGGATCGTCCGTGTGGATCTCCGGTCGGGCACCATGTCCACCCGGTACAGCCCGAGGCGTGCGCTTCTGCGCGCGGTCTGCGCGCATGTTGTGTCCGTGCTGACTGTCTGCTGCGCCGGGGGGCTCTTTACAGCCGGTAAGACACATTTTACTAGAATTGCTTTGTGCACTTTCAACTTTCAAATGACTGTGCGGCTGCGGCTCAAAACCTAGTACGCTGCCTACTTAGTCAAACAGCATCTTTGGGCATCATCGGCACGCAAAAGTCAAACTGCACAGTTGTTTATTTAAAACACGGTTTCTACCTGATCTGACACTTAAATCCAAATGTTTTGATTTGCACAGGTAATTTAGATGAAGTAGCTTGCATTTAGGTTACTTGGCATAAAACATTGTAGTTTGTGTTTTAGGAACAGACCGAGTCTCTTGTTCTCAGAGCAGCACAACTGATGAATGGTGGACAGTTTGTATTAAGAACATGCTGTGATGTTTCTCCAGAACAGCTTCTTTGAGAGATATCTGTGCTTAATTGAGGCATTAACAGAACATCTGTGGTTTCATGGTGGTTTTTATTGTCATAACTTGGTTTATCAATACACTATTTGGCGACCAGATGATGATCATTGTGAGTTGATTATAATGATTTCACAAATACAGCTGAATGTGAGGGAATCTCACAAAACCTGCTCAAGTCATACTTAAAGCTAAATATTTTTTCTTTAAATAAAATTAAAAAAAATTATTTTATTTTGGACCATTGAGAAATTTGATTGATTGATTGATTCCTGCAGGAAAATGTTGTTTTGGAAAAATATGATTGATTAATTCATTGACTCAAGAAAATGAAGGTTATTTTTCGGACAAAGATTTATTTATTTGTTTATTTATTGCATTGTGTGCATTATTTTTGAGAACATTTTGCCTATTTTCCTACTACATTCTCGTTACATTTTTATTACTGTGATTCCAATAATGGTATATGCATTTTTTTTAAATTGTAGAGAATGTATACATCATGTTACTATTTTTGTACTACCTTTTATTTATGCTATTTTTTAAAATACATTTAAAAAAAATTACAGCATACTTTGTGTAATATGGTATAAAATTACGCTATTACAGTAATTAGGATGTAATGAGAATAATCAATGTGAATAATGGCATTTAATATATATATATATATATATATATATATATATATAATCTCACCATACTCAGATGCATTACACAAATGAGAATTGTTGGGGTAAATATGTGTAATTGACATAAAAATAATACAGATTCAATTCAGTATGAGACTAAACGTGAACAACTGAGATTTTACTCTGACTGTCTGCTGCGCCGGGGGGCTCTTTACAGCCGGTAAGACACATTTTACTAGAACTGCTTTGTGCACTTTCAACTTTCAAATGACTGTGCGGCTGCGGCTCAAAACCTAGTACGCTGCCTACTTAGTCAAACAGCATCTTTGGGCATCATCGGCACGCAAAAGTCAAACTGCACAGTTGTTTATTTAAAACACGGTTTCTACCTGATCTGACACTTAAATCCAAATGTTTTGATTTGCACAGGTAATTTAGATGAAGTAGCTTGCATTTAGGTTACTTGGCATAAAACATTGTAGTTTGTGTTTTAGGAACAGACCGAGTCTCTTGTTCTCAGAGCAGCACAACTGATGAATGGTGGACAGTTTGTATTAAGAACATGCTGTGATGTTTTTCCAGAACAGCTTCTTTGAGAGATATCTGTGCTTAATTGAGGCATTAACAGAACATCTGTGGTTTCATGGTGGTTTTTATTGTCATAACTTGGTTTATCAATACACTATTTGGCGACCAGATGATGATCATTGTGAGTTGATTATAATGATTTCACAAATACAGCTGAATGTGAGGGAATCTCACAAAACCTGCTCAAGTCATACTTAAAGCTAAATATTTTTTCTTTAAATAAAATTAAAAAAAATTATTTTATTTTGGACCATTGAGAAATTTGATTGATTGATTGATTCCTGCAGGAAAATGTTGTTTTGGAAAAATATGATTGATTAATTCATTGACTCAAGAAAATGAAGGTTATTTTTCGGACAAAGATTTATTTATTTGTTTATTTATTGCATTGTGTGCATTATTTTTGAGAACATTTTGCCTATTTTCCTACTACATTCTCGTTACATTTTTATTACTGTGATTCCAATAATGGTATATGCATTTTTTTTAAATTGTAGAGAATGTATACATCATGTTACTATTTTTGTACTACCTTTTATTTATGCTATTTTTTAAAATACATTTAAAAAAAATTACAGCATACTTTGTGTAATATGGTATAAAATTACGCTATTACAGTAATTAGGATGTAATGAGAATAATCAATGTGAATAATGGCATTTAATATATATATATATATATATATATATATATATATAATCTCACCATACTCAGATGCATTACACAAATGAGAATTGTTGGGGTAAATATGTGTAATTGACATAAAATCTCTCTCTCTCGCTCTCTCTCTCTCTCTCTCTCTCTCTCTCTCTCTCTCTCTCTGTGTGTGTGTGTGTCTCTGAACACATCATCATTGGTAAAGTGCTCTTAATTACCACAGAAAACAATCAGTCTCTCTTCTCCTCCTGATGCTAAATGTATTTGTGTGCGAGTGATGATTATGTTATTGTGTGCTCTGCTGAGTTAATTGCATGTAGACGATCATTAATAGTTAAAGGCTCATTCATCATAGAGCCAGTTACTGATATGAAATGAGACTCTGTGCGGGTCTGGTGGACGCAGTCACGGTGATTTATATGATGCGAGCACTAATGAAACAAACCTGCTGCATGCAACACTGGCAGATTTGATAAATGACACAGCGTTTACAACAGCATGGTACTTGATCAGCCACAGATACTCTCATTAAATCAGAGTGCTTATACAAAACAGGTGTGCTGGAGGGGGGACGAGATGTGGAGCATCATGTAACCATCATCGTTTACAGTATAATTTGTTAACATTGGATAAATGTAGCATTACATCACTTGCTCCCCAATGGATGCTCTGCAGTGAATGGGTGCCGTCAGAATAAAAGTCCAAACAGCTGATAAAAACATCACAATAAAGTAATAATAATAATAAAGTAATTCACACCACTCCAGTCCATCAATTAATGTCTTGTGAAGCAAAAAGCTGCGTGTTTGAAACAAATCCATCATTAAGATGTTTTTAACTTTCAACCGTTGCTTTCGAATAAAGTAAGAGTCCATAATCCATAATATTGCTTTTCCAGTGAAAAGGTGGTCTTGTCTGAATAAGGAGAGAAATCTGCACAGATCAAGCACCGTTTACAAGCTAAAACAGTCCAAAACAAATATATGGATGGATTTTGATGTGAGAGGAACAACAGGAGATGGACTTTTTCACTGGAGAGAGCATTATTATGGATTATGGACTCATATTTAGCTGGAAGTGCCGGTTTAAAGTTAAAGCATCATGGATTTGTTTCTTACAAACCTGTAGCTTTTTGCTTCACAAGACGTTTTTTGATGGATTGGAGTGTTGTAAGATTGTTTACTTGTGGATTATTGTGATGTTTTTATCAGCTGTTTGGACTCTCATTCTGACGGCACCCATTCACTGCAGAGGATCCACTGGTGGGCAAGTGATGTAATGCTACATTTCGCCAAATCTGATGAAGAAACAAACTAATCAACATCTTAGATGGCCTGAGGGTGAGTACATTTACAGCACATTTTCATTGTTGGGTGAACTAGTGCTTTAATAATTCTGGTTCCTCAACAGTTATTTTATACTAAACAAAACTATTGTTGGTTGCATAACTTTTGCTGTTTACATCATACTGTAAAAAAAATATTTTTGAGATGAGATGAGAATTGTTTCTACACCAAATTTATTTTCAGTTTATTTTAAAAAGTAAGGTTTTGGTTCTCAAGAACCGCTCCAATCGATTTAGATCAATAATTCTTGATCTCCAGAATGATTCTATTTTTGTTTGATTTGTTAAAAAGAAGAGTCTTGTAGTCATTTGTGAGTCATTAAAGGGAGACGTAGGCAAGGAAGGGCAGAGGAACCCAGAAAGATGAGTTTGGAAAGATGTGAGGTGAAAGTCAAGAGAAAGAACAGAGAGGAAGACATGAGGAAGAGACGAGCCCGTCACAGTGGGGTGTAAAACCAGAAACTGTTGATGTGACAACAAGGTTACTGAGACACGCGATCAAAGCGGCGCTGATACCCAACATGTGTTTGAGAGAGGATGTCGACTACTGCGTGTGAACACTGTCCCTGAGTCTGCTACAAATGCTTCCGTTCCCTCCAGACGCAGCGTATGGGAAAACCAGAGAGTTCACTTCTGTGAGCGTGTGGCATGTTTGAAGTTAAAGTTCAGCAGAAAATGAAAACTCATAATTTGCTCACCCTCATGTCATTACAAATGTGCCTGGTTTTCTTTCTGCTGTGGAACACAAAAGCAGACGTTTAGCAAAATATCCAAATGTTATAATATTCTAGAAGTAGTCCATATTACATACACTATCATTAAAAAGTTAAAGAAATGAATACTTTTATGCATTAAAATTGATCAAAATTGACAGTAAAGGTATTTATGTTACAAAAGATTTACACTGCAATAAAATTTGCTGCTAGCTTTAAAAAATAAGGATCCAATTTGAATTATAGAATTATATTTGAGTCTAAGATTTGAATTATATTTGAATAAACAGCTATAAATGGCTGTTTAGACAATGTTTTGGCAAAATTTCTTTCTATCTTGGTTCCATTCAAATGTGAAACATCCACTTTTCACTGTCCTAATGAAGAAAATTCCTCGTTTCCCATTTAATATCATTTTTAAATTAGAAAAACAATACAATTTGAAAGGTTGGGGTCAGTAAAATTTTATTTTGTAGGAAATTAATACTTTTATTCAGCAAAGACGGATTAAATTGATCAAAAGTGACAGTAAGTACATTCATAATTTTACAAAAAAACATTCTGTTCCAAATAAATTGTTCTTTTGAACTTTCTATTCATTAAAGACTCCTGGAAATCACTGTTATCAAACATATGAAGCTGCACAACTGTTTTCAACATTGATAATAATCAGAAATGTTTCTTGAGCAGC